AGGATTCTTATCTGAGATGCATGCGTTCCTAAACTTTGGACGGTTACTATAATGGACTATAGTATGCCTGTTCAGTTTTTTTGTTTTTCCTAGAGGTTCAGCTGCCTTTTCTTGTTTTTCTTGCATTTTACTATTACTCATCTTATTTTCCCAAGAATGCTCAATTATATTCTCCAAATGTATTATAACCTCTTTTGTTTAGAATCGACATCCAGGAAGTCCGTATCAGGGCTGTTTTCTTATGAATATTACCCGTGGAGCCCTGCTACAGCACGTCACCATGGGCTTCCCTCCCCTGGTTAATCAGGGTTAAAATCCACTTTTTTTCCGTTCGGCACATCTTTTTTTTTTTTTTCTTTTTGGATACAAGAAGTATTTATTTGGGGCCGGCATGGTGGCTCCACGGCCTGTAACTCCCAACACTTCGGGAGGCAGAGGCCGACTAGATCACCTGAGGTCAGGAGTTAGACCCCTGGGCCACATGTGAAGTCCTTCGTACTAAAATAATTTTAAACGGCCCAGGGTGCAGATGGCTCAGCCTGTAATCCCGCACCTTTGGGGAGCCGAGGATGGGCGAGATCACAAGGCTCAGGAGCACAGACCATCCTGGCTAACCACGCTGAAACCCCTGTCTCTACTAACAAATACAAAAAAATAGCCAGGAGGGTGGGCACGTTGCCTGTGGTCCAGCTACTGGAGGTCTGAGGCGGGGAGGAATCGCCCGGCCTGACCTGGGAGTGGAGGGTGTGCAGTGAGGGCAGAGATCATCGGGCCGCGAATGCCCCACTAGACCTCTCTTGTTTCAAAAAAATAAAAGATAAAAATAAATTCAGCCAGGCGCCGGGTGTCGCATATCCCAGCTACTGGAGGACTGAGACCACAAGAATCACTGACCTGGGCAGCAGGAGGTTGCCCATAGGCCAAGATCAACACACTGCACACCGCCTGGGTGACAGAAGGGGAGACTCCGTCTCAATAAATTTAAAAGAAAAAAGTATTTATTTTAGTTTATTTTCTTTATTTTTTGGAGACGAGTCTTGCCCTGTCGCCCCAGGCTGGAGTGCAGTGGCAGATCTTCGTTCACTGGCAACCCCTTCTGCTCTTCCCCAGGCTCCGTGATTTCTCCTGCCTCAGGCTCCCCAATAGCTGAAGTACAGGCAGCGCCCCATGCCCTGGACTGTTTTGTTATTTCTGTAGAGACAGGTTTCCCCATTGGCCAGGCTGGTCTTGAAACTCCCCTGACCTCACGTGATCCACCCGTCCTGGCCTCCCCAAAAATGCTGGGATTACAGTGTGAGCTCACCCACCACCTGGCTGATAATTTTCCTTAGATTCTCACCTAGCCTTTTATTCTGTACTTCCCCATCTGTACCATTTTTTCATTCAGTCTCACGTTTCATTTTAAGGCCTTTTTTGTTTCCTTTGATTATTAAATGCGGCCTTTAGGGATCAAACTTCCTCTCGCTGTGGGCCTTTCCTTTTTTTTTTTTTTTTCCGTGGTCAGGATGGGTAGGTACTGATGTAAGAACAATGGGTTGAGGAGAGGGCACATCCATACATGCATCATGAACACCCCCATCATCCGTGCCTAGGGAACTACAGAAGATCAGGTTTTCCTTGAATTAAAAAAATAAATTTTAGGAGGTAGGCCTTCACTGTCACCCGGCTGTGATGCAGTGGCATGATCCAATTAACGTCACTGCCCGTCTTCAAACCTGGTAAAGCGTCCTCCGGCTCAGCCTCCCCCGTAGCTAGACTGCTTGGCACCACCACCGACAACTGCATCAGGTATGTTTTTAAAGAGTTTTGCTTCTTTTTGTAAAGACCGGATCGTCCAGCTAGTTGCCCAGGCGTTCTTGAACTCCTTTCTCAAGTGATTTCTCCTGGCCTTTGGCCTCTTGAAGTGCTGGGATGACAGTGTGAGTCACTGTCCTCTCTGCTTAAATAATTTAAAAAATGTAAGTATAAATGCGTTCTGCTAGGGTGCAATGGTGGCTTCAACACCTGTAATCCGAGTGCTTTGGGGCCCAAGGTATGGGCGGATCACTGAGGTCAGAGAGTCAGACCAGCCTTACCAACATGGAAGGACCCTGTCCTACCAAAAATACGCAAAAATCGCGTGATCATGGTGTGCACGCTGTGGTCCCAGCACCTCGGGAGCTGAGGTGGAATTCGGCTTAATCTGGAGAGGCAGAGGTTACAGTGACCAAGGATCGTGGGCAGCGTGGAGCCAGCCAGGGAACAAGACGTTGAGAGCTGGTCTCAAAAAGAAAAAAAGGCGTTATGAGGAGTAATAAAGTGCACGAAGGTCAAGTATATACATTTCTCAGGCAAGAAGTGTAATGTACTGAGACACCCATGGTGAGAACCGGCACTAGATCCAGGTGATTTAGAGACGGTCGACCCCGAGAGGTCTCGAGCGGGCACTTGCCACCGCACTGGATAGCCCGTGTGCGCTGGACCTGCTGACCAGTGTCGGCGAGTGGAGATGTTTCTGTAATCGTTTTTTTTTGTTTTTGAGGATGGACGTCGTTACTCTGTGTGCCCAGGCTGGAGTTGGTGGCGTGAGATGCTTGCTTACTGCAACGCTCTTGCCTCTCAAGTTCAAGGCAAGGTGCGCGGGTTGCCCAGCCTCCCGAGTTAACTGGATTAAAGACGCCACCGCTTGTTGCCAGTAATTTCATATGTTTTGAGTAGGAGACAGTGGGTTTTGCCATGTTTGACCAGGCTGGTCTGAGACTTGTGGACCGCTCTGGTGAGTCCTTGCCTTGGCTCCCAAAGTGCGGGGATTTACAAGCGTGAGCCACCATGCGCCAGCGCTTCTGTAGGACGTTTTTTGTTTTGTATGTTGTTGTTTTTGACGGCGGAGTCTCCCTCTGTCGCCCCCAGGGCTGGAGTGCGCAGGTGCCGGATCTCGCTCACTGCAAGCTGCCGGCCTCCCAGGTACGCCATTCTCCGACGGCCTTCAGCCGTCGGCCGAGTAGCTCGGGACTACAGGGGCGCCTGCACCTGCGCGCCGGCTAGATTTTTGTGTTGGCCGGGGGTTTTTGTAGTAGAGACGGGGTTTCACCGTTTTGTAGCAGATGGGTCTGATCTCGCTGACCTGTGATCGGTGGCCGCATCCTCGCCTCCCAAAGTGCTGGTTACGAGCTTGAGCCACCTCGCCGGGCCTTAGACTTTTAATGTAGTTGTAGATCATTCTCTTTCAGGCTCCAGTATCGCAAGAAAATTATTACACATTTAAATATGCTACGGGTTACTTTAGTGTAAAAAGTACGGTAATTGTTTGCAGATAGAAGCAAGGTGGTAAGGCAGGCCAGGTTTGACGGTGGCGTGGGTGTGGGGGTTCATTGCAGAGTTAAGTTATCATTTTCGAAGTAAAGGTCGACTTCGGAAGCCCACTTGATAGCAACAGGGCTGTGGGGTCTGTTCTTTTTCCCCCTTGAGCTCGAGCCATATGAGTCGTATTTCGTGGTGGCTTTCCATTTGTTGCAATTTATTACGTGTAATAAGATGATGCTGTTAGAACTTTGTTTTTTTTTTAAAGAGGGAATCTGACTCTGGTACTCCCAGGCTGGGAGGTGCAGTGGCTGCGGGCTCCTGGCAACGCTCGGCGGCCTCCGAGGTTCACACGTGAGTTCTCCTGACTCAGCACTGCCGAGTAGCTGGGACTACAGGCGGCGCGCCACCGCACTCCAACCCAGCTAATTTTTGTTTTTAGTAGAGAGGGGTTTCCCATTGTTAAGCCAGGATTGTCTCGAATCTCCTGAGCTCATCTATCCGCTGAGAGTGCCCAGATCAGCTACACCCCAACACCAGGAGCACACTTACAGCCCCCAGTTACAGAGCATCATGTTGACAAATACTAGATGCTTCAGGAAAAAGATTATTTAACTAGTAACTTTTCTGTAAATCTGAGAACATACATAAAAATAGTCATAGCAGAGAACAGAGATTGTTCATTCCAAAGTGTCCCTAATAGTGAAGACAAGATTGTGGTGGCTCACAGAGGGCTGTGAAGTTTATTCAGATGGCTCAGCAAGGAAAACAAGAGCCAGGAACCAGTAACCCAAGAACATTTATTTGTGTTTTACTTTTAAATATGAAGCCTGTTTTTAAATATATTTCTTTCATATACAAAATAATTTAGTACTGTATAGAGATCACTGAAAATAATTGAGTATTTTGATCATTCTGAAACTTAACTTTGTATGAATAAATTAAGACATTACTGTGAAAAAAACTAGGATTCCTATATTCAACACTTTTTTTTTTTTTTTCCCGTAGAGACAAGGTCTGACTACGTTGCCCAGGCTGGTCTCAAAGTCCCAGGCTCAAGCAGTCCTCCTACCTCAGCCTTCCAAAGTGCTGGGATTACTGGTGCAAGCTACCAGGCCTGACCTAAACACATTTATTGAGCACCGACTATGTGCGAAACCCCTAGCCTTTTGCTAGGCATTGAGAATGAAAATGAGAAACAAGACAGACAATGGCTCCTGTCCTCATGAAGCTTATATTCTAGTGTTAGACACACACAACTAAATGGGTATATGTATCATAGGTATAGTGTTTTGTAACTTTAACTTGATGTATTGTGAACGTTTGCCCATGACATTTGGAATGTTTCAAAGGATACTTCTAAAGAAAGCAAGCCTATCTCACTTTAGAGTGGTATGCTATGAAAAGTTGGTAAAACGCTTATGTTTCGAGCCTGTATCAAGGATTAAAAAAACAAGATTTTACACTTGAGTCTCTATTCAATAATATTTTCAGAGGAAAAAGTTATTGTGTTGTTTGAAATATAGTTATTTCTCCAAACATTTGATGTTAGTACAAAATTAGCACAAAAAATGTATTCCAAAGCCAATTTTAAGAAATATTTGGATTATCTACGGCCCATTTTCTCCCTCTGCCATTGCCATACATGAGTACATGTTATGTCTGATATATACAAATGGAAAATCAGAAGCAAGCGAAATTATCTTTTTACCTGTTCGTATCTTACCAAAAGAAAATTTTGAGAATTTCGTTCCTTTTTTTTTTTTTTTTTTTAAAGAGACAGAGTTTTGCTCTTGTCGCCCAGGCTGAATCGCAGTGGCACGATCTCGGCTCACCGCAGTCTGTTTCCCGGGTTCAAGTAGTTCTCCTGCCTCAGCCTCCCAAGTAGCTGGGATCACAGGCATGCGCCACCACGCCCAGCTGATTCTGTATTTTTAGTAGAGATGGGGTCTTTCCATGTTGGTTAGGCTGATCTCGAACTCCTGACCTCAGGTGATCTGCCTGTCTCAGCCTCCCAAAGTGCTGGGATTACAGGCATGAACCACCACGCCTGGCCTCATTCCCAAATTTTAACAATCCAGACTCACCTGAAAGACTTGTTAGAACTCAGATTTCTGGGCCTCATGCCCAGAGTGTCTGCTTTGCTAGGTTTGGGTTAGGGCCAGAGAATTTTCTTGTCAAATAGGTTGCCAAGTAATGCTGATTCTGCTAGTCTAGGGCCCATGACCACTGCTCTGGAGAGTATCTGGTTGAAGAGACCAGTCATATGAACTCTTTACTCAAGAACTGAAGGCCTATGAGCCAGGTGTGGTGGCACTTTGGGAGGTCAAGGCAAGGAGGATATGTTGAGGTCAGGAGTTTGAGACTAGCCTGAGCAACATAGCGAGACCTCATCTCTACAAAAAAATTTTTTTTTTTTTTTTTTTTTTTTTGAGACCGGTTCTCTGTAAGCGCCGGCTGGAGTGCAGTGGCCGGATCTCCCACTCACTGCAAGAGCCTCCGCCTCCCCGGGTTTGCGCCATTTCATCCTGCCTCAAGCCCTCCGGAGTACGGCTGGACTACAGCGCCCGCCCCGCAACCCGTCGCCCGGCTACGTTTTTTGTATTTTTAGTAGAGACGGGTTTCACCGTGGTTTCGCCCAGCCGATCGCCGTCTCGATCTCCTGACCCGCTCGTGATCCGCCGTCCTCGGGCGCAAATGGCTGGACTTACAAGCTTTGGCCCCACCGCGCCCGCCTACAAAAAAATTTTAAAAAATTAGCTTTGGTGTGTGGCCGCACACCCTGTAATCCCCCCCTAACTCCCAGGAGGGGTGAAGTGGGAGGATCCTCTGAGCCCAGGAGTTCAAGGCTGACATAAGCATGGTTGTGCCACTGTATCCTTCCTTACTTGAGTCAACAGAGTGAGACCCTGTATCTTAAAAAAAAGACTTGTGACAGCCTAACCTTAAATTTGAGAAAACTGTTGATTATTGTTCTGGTAAAATTGGTGCTCAGCGTGGTACCCTGTTCTTGGTTTTATTTATTTCAATACTAGGATTATCCAGTATCAAGTGACAAGTCCGAGGTGATAGTACCAGTGAAGGTTGTCTGGGTCAAACAGTAAATAGGTGGCAAACACGCATCTGGATTATACCATGCTTAAATCCTAAGATGAGCAATTTCACATGGAAGTACCACCTTCTTTCTATTTGGTTTTAATATATCTATGAGTAATAGCTTATCTCTTGATCTATGTCTTCTACTGTTTTGCGGTGGCTCTGAAACTTGGGAATTAATCTATAACATCTCTATTTTTGCTTGTGCTTTATTGACGCCGTAAGGCAGTGGTTTCTTTTATTTAACAATTTCTCTCCCCCAGGCCCTAAATAGACTTCAATTTAGGCAGTCATGACTCCATTAACTTATGTTACCTCAGCAACCATGTTGCATCAAACATCGTTAATGCTGATCGAAACGTTGGCTGTCCTCTGTTACTCAATGTTAACGCTCTTCCTAATTCTGGATCATCGTAAGCTTTCTGCAATGTTATCTTGTCGGGGGCGCGCTGACTTCCTGAAAGCTGGAAAATATGGTAGCTTTGAGACCTTCCGTATACTGCACCCGCGAACATATAAATTTTTATACTGTATATCCTGTGTTACTGTTTGAAAGTCACTCTCTGGAGATTTATTCCTATTCTCATCTATTTTTTTTGGACAGAGTCCTCCGGGTCTTTGCCCAGGGCCGCTCGGAGTGTATGCGGCGATGCTCAGCTCCACTGCACCAGCTCCGCTTCCCCAGGTCAGGGCCATTCTCCCTGGCCTGAGCCTCCCCAAAAGTAGGCTGGACACCTCAACAGGCCGCCCAAACACAACACCGGCAGCTAATTTTGTAAATTAATTTTGTAGTAAAGAACGAAGCGGGGGGGGGGTTGCCAGCCCGTGCTTTAAACGTCAAAGCGATGGGGTCTCACGGTCCTCTGACCTCGTGATCTGGCCTGTCCCCTCCGGGCGTCCCCCCAAAATGGGGAATTAACAGGTGTGAGCCATGGGTGCCTGGGCCAGCAGGAGGGAACCTTTTAAAATGTGGAAGCATGCTCCATTATAAAAGTGCATATGGAGAATACAGCCTCTAAAATAGTGGGTGGGAACCACGGATTTTAATGAGCATGTGTGGTAACCCAGAAAAAAGGGTTAGTTCAGGGTTTCCTGGGTGGTAAGGGTTCAGTTGGGCAACGTAAGTACCGCGCTACGTGCAGCTCGTACAGCACTAGTAAATAATTTTTTAAAAAAAAAAAAAAACAATCTATTAGGCCAACCAGAGACAAAAGGCCAAACAGGGACCACACTGATAAGATGTTTCAGCTGCATTTTTCCACTGTTGTCTACATTAGACTTTAATGGGCATGCTGCAGCTTTTTTTTCTGTTTGAGTTTTAGTTTTTGAAAGTTAATTTCTACCTGCGGGCCCCTACCGCCGAAAACAATTCTGGTAACAATATTATTTAATTTTCAATGTTGGGCTCGCATTTGGCTACTTCATTGGTTTCCATGTTGCCTTTGGAATCTCTGGATTGCAATCTATGTGGCATTCTTTTTGGAGAGTTACTGTTGCTGAAACGGTAAGAGAAAACTAGGATCACAACTCTACTTCACGTCGGAATATCTCGGAATCTTTGCATTAAAGTAGTGTATTTTTTTTCTAATAGTTTGCGGGCCAACTAGGCTGAGCAATGCATTTCATATGCTGGGGGCGACCCCCCCCGCCCCACCGACGTGTTGGTTTTGTTTGTCTTGTGGTATTTTAGCTGTTCCTTTCTTCCAGTCTTTTTCTCTTCTCTATCAAGACAGGCCTAAGAAAGGGATAGACAGCGCTCTAAACCACTGCTTCTCTTCTTGGTTCCAAAAATCTTCAAAAAGGCAGCTAACACTATATGTTACTCTATCTAGTTAGCAGATGTTTCTTTTGAAGAGACAAGAGTCTTTATTGTCACCGCAGTGCTGGATGGCAGTGGCATCCTGATCATGGCCCACCTGCGCCCTCAAGCCTCCTGGACTCAAGCCATCCTCTGCCACCTTCTCAAGCTTCTCATGGTAGCTGTACGGTCTCCACAGGGAGCTACTACGACCACATCAGGCTAATGTTTTTCATTTTTTGTAGAGAATGGGATCTTTGCTATGCTTGCCTAAGGCTGGCCTGAACTCGCTGGCCTCAAGCTTGGCTAACACAAGTTTTTTCCTGACGCCTTTCAGCAAATATCTGTGCAACGAGCTGTAACATCGCAGAATCTGAGACTTTATTCCAGTCTAAGCCTCTGTAATATGATTCATCCTCCTTTAGCCAAAAAAAGCAAGAAACTAACAAATTTAATCATCACTTCTGCTATATAGGAGGCCGAGTCTTTAAGGCAAAGCTCAGGAAAAGGTCGTAGGCTGTTAGACGCTCTGGGAGCAAATTTCTCACCTTGAGGACCAACAGGAAAATAGCAAAACCCCATTTAATGGTTCAGTGTGATAACTTTGGCTGTGCTGTTCGTAGTAAAAATACAGTATTTTAATGATTTTAAATAAAAAAACTGGCCAGGTGATATACTATGTCAGCCTCTTTTTTTTTTTTTTTTTTTTTTGAGACCAGAGTCTCAGCTCCTATCACGCGCAGGCATGGAGGCAGTGGTGGCGATCTGGGGCATCTGCAACCCTCCACCACTCCCAGCGGTTCGTGCATTCTCGCTGGCCTCAGCCGTCCCCGGGTCGCTGGGACTCAACAGGCTTGGCCCCGGCCACCCCATCTCTTTGGCTGCCTATTTTTTTGCTATTTTAGTAGAGCAATTGGGTCTTCACTGGTGTTAGGCCAGGATGGTCTCAATCTCCTGCGACCCATGATGCTGCCTGCCTCGGCCTCCCAAACGTGCTGGGATTCACAGGGCGGTGAGCCACGGCGCCCCGGGCCGTAAATTTAGCTCATAAATTCTTAACCACCTTACTGAATACAGCTGGTAACTTTTTCGATTAAAAAAAGTTTCCTAAATTTTTATTCAACTCAATTATTTAAATCTGATTAGATCAGGTCATGTGATATAGACTATTTCCAAATATCTTGGTAATTATTTATTTATTTATTTTATTTTATTTATTGAGATAGGGTCTTGCTCTGTCACCCAGACTGGAATGCAGTGGCACAATCTCAGCTCACTGCAACCTCCACCTCCCAGGCTCAAGCAATCCCCCCACCTCAGCCTCCTGAGTAGCTGAGACGATGGGCGCATACCACCAAGCCCTGCTAGTTTTTTGTATTTTTTGTAGAGATGGGGCTTCACCATGTTGTCCAGGCTGGTCTCAAACTCCCGGGCTCAAGTGATCTGCCTGTCTCAGCTTCCCAAAGTTCTGGGATTACAGGTGTGAACCCCTAGGCCTAGCCCTGTGTAATTTATTATTCATGTTCCCAAAATTGTAGAAAATAAAAGAGGGTGGGTGCAGTGCAAACCCAGCACTTCAGGAGGCCAAGGAGGGACTATTGCGTGAGGCCAGGATTTTGAGACCAGCTTGGACAGCATAGGGAGACCTCATCTCTACAAATAATAAATATTTAGCCGAGTATGGAGGCGTGCACCTGTGGTCCCAGCTACTCAGGAGACTGAAGTGAGAGGATCACCTGAGCCTGGGAGGCGGAGATTGCAGTGAGCCATGATCGTGCCACTGTACTCCAGCCTGGGTGACAAAGTGAGACCTTGTCTCAAAAAAAGAGAAAAGAAAGGCTGGGCGCGGTGGTTCACGCCTGTAATCCCAGCACTTTGGGAGGCCGAGGCAGGTGGATCATGGAGGTCAGGAGATGAGGACATCCTGGCTAACACGGTGGAACCCTGTCTCTACTAAAAATACAAAAAATTAGCCAGGGCATATGGTGTGTGGGCGCCTGTTAGTCCCAGCTACTCAGAGGGCTGAGGCAGGAGGAATGGCAATGAACCCTGGAGGCGGAGCTTGCAGTGAGCCAAGATCGCGCCACTGCACTCCAGCCTGGGCGACAGAGCACAGACTCCATCTCAAAAAAGGAAAAAAGAGAGAAAAGAAAGAAGAAAAGAAAAATAAGTAATAGTAATTTCAGCACTCTTAAATATTTTGGTTTATTTTTTTGTTTCTGTTTTCTTATGTTTTTAGTTATGTATATTTTTATCCCCCCAGTTGCATTTAACATGATCATTATAAGTTGTTCTTTTGCTGCTATAAAATCTGTTTTATATGAGGTATCTATAAATAATTTGTTGCCCAGGCTAGAGTGCAGTGATGCAATCTCAGCTCACTGCAACCTCCACCTCCCAGGTTCAAGCGATTCTCCTGCTTCAGCCTCCCAAGTAGCTGGGATTACAGGCGCGCCCGCCACCACACCCAGCTAATTTTTGTATTTTTAGTAGAGGACAGGGTTTGCCATGTTGGCCAGGCGCTGGTCTTGAACTCCTGACCTCAGGTGGATCCACGCTCGCTGCTTGGGCTCCCAAAGTGCTGGGATTACAGGAGTAAGCCAACCTACGCCTAGCCATATATATATTTTAAAATGTGTTGGGTGCCAGTAGCCTTCACGGCCTGTGAATCCCAGCACTTTGGAGGGCTGAGGCCAGCAGATCACTTTGGACCAGGAGTTGGAGACCGTCTGGCCACATGAACAAAACCTATGTCTCTTACTTTAAAATACAAAAATTACCTGGGCATGGTGCGCACACACTGTAATCCCAAGCTACCTGGTAAGGCTTGAGGCGCACGGAGAACTCTTCTTGAACCCGGGAGGTAGAGGTTGCAGTGAGCTGCGATCATGCCACTGCACTGCAGCCTGGGCAACAGAGGGTGACCCTCTCAAAAAACAAAACAAAGAAAAAAAAAGGGAAAAAAATTACCTTTTTAATCATAGGAATTGCATAATACTTGTTCATTATAGAAAACTAAGAATGTAAAAGAACTCAAAAGAAGAAAATGAAATTACTGATAACTCTTTCCCAGATACAACTATTAATACAGAGCCCCTTTTAACCGGAATGTCTTTATCTCATAATTTTAGGCTATTTTCTTGAAAACTTCTGGAGCAAGGTTATGTTTTGAGAATTATTAGCAGATCTATAATTTTATAAAGTTGGCTTTATAACATTTTTAGAAGCCATTGTAGTGGTAATGGTTATTTAACGTGAAATGGTGGTGAAGACCTATGCAAACCATCTGTTATGTTAATCAGATTAACCAAAGCTGTTCTGAAATGAGAAAAATTTGACAGTTCACCTATTTAATTGTGCCTCTGTCAGTGAGCAGTCATTGACAATTCCGGTAGAAATTTATGAGAATTTCAACTTCATTTCTAGATACAGTCAGAAAAAAATGTTGCTCCAGCAGTCCTTCCAATCTTAGTTAATGGCTGGCTACTCTGTCTTTCCATGTGTTTAGGCCAAAAGCCGTAGATGGTGAAGGCCTGTCAAAGATGACACTTGTCTTCCTCCCATGCCCCACATCCAGTCTATCTGCAGATCCTGTTGACTGTGCTGTAAAATATATCCTGAGTCTAACCACCATTTACCATCCTCCATTGCTACCACCCTGGTTCAATCCATCATAATTTCTCACCTGATTTCCTGGAAGAGCCTCCTAACTGGCTTCTGTTTCCTCTCTTGCCTCCTTTAATCTACCCTCAGCACAGCAGCCAGAGGGATCCTTTTAAAATATGTCAGCTCAGATCACTTTTCTGCTCTCAACCCAGTGGCTTCTTATCTCACTCAGAGTAAAAATCAGAGTCCTCACTGTGACAGCCAGGTCTCCACCGCCCAGCTGCCCTCTTTCTTTACCCTTTTCCGGCTCTTCCCTCTTGTGCCTATGTGGCTGTTCCTGTAATACACTGGCATGCTCCCTCAGGGCGTGTGCATGGCTTCTGCCCTCACTTCCTGCGTGTCCTTGCTCCAGTGTCACCTTCTCATGGGGTCTTCCTGGCCACCTGTGTCCGATGTCACACTACACTTCTGTACCTTTCCTGCATTATTTTATCTTCTTTTTATTCAGTATGTTCTCTGGTTCCATGAGGGCAAAAAAAATTGTACCTGTTTTGTTTATTGCAGTATCCTCAGCATTAAATAGGGCCAGCATACTGTATGCCCCCAGTAAATGTTTGTTAAATGAACGAAGGGAGTTATCATTTACTAAAGCCATGCTGGACTCTGTCACACATTATGTCATTTTAATACTCAAGCCAACCCTGATTCCAAGAAAAATCAATTCTTCTAGGCAGGAAAACTGGTATTTGCCAATATATCTGAATCTAAATGTTTTGAGATCATAACCTTCTGAACACTGCAATTATTTTTTACAGAAAAAGACATAGTATACCCTGGAATTGCTGTATTTTTCCAGAATGCCTTCATCTTTTTTGGGTAAGTTTGTTTTGCATTATCTTACCTTTTTTTTTAAAAAATAGCTTCTTTATATCATTTGCTATATTTAGTTGCTTAATTACTCATCCAATACCCCTCCCCCATGATATTTTCATAAAACATGAAGAGTAAGGCTGAGAAGGATATTTTAAATAGATGAGTTGGTTTGCTGCCAACCTTAGAAGCATATATTAATTTTTAAGATTGCTACCACGCCCCCTTTTAATGAGTAACTATGATTCATGAAGATTTAGTTACATAACACTGGTGATGTTCATTTTAAACTTAGATCTCTAACAGTTGCTTTAAATGAAAGCCTGCCTAAAACCATTTATCCTTAAATTTTGGCTTCTGATATATTTTATAGTTCTGTCCTTGATATTGTAGAATTTGTGAGATTTGAGGTGTGGAGGAAAAGCCCATTTTTTATCCTTCCCTTTTAATTACAAATGAAAAGATGATGAAAACCTCTAAAAACTTCAAGGCTTTTATCAATAATCTTCTCTGATGTTCATCTTTCCTAGAAATTTAGAGCCTGCCCTTTACCCATACTGTTCCTCCAACCACTACCACCCCCTCCAGCCCCTATAACCTACCCCCGTCACTGGCCGAAAAACCCTACAAACAAAATAGCTCAACAGCTCTTAATCTTCTGCATCAGGAGCTTTGTTGGTTTTTGGTTTTTGTTTGTTTGTTTGTTTTCGAGACGGAGTCTCAGTCTCTCACCAGGCTGGAGTGCAATGGCACGATCTCAGCTCACTGCAACCTCTGCCTCCTGGGTTCAAGCAATTCTCCTGCCTCAGCCTCCCAAGCAGCTAGGACTACAGGCACACACCACCACGCCTGGCTATTTTTTTTTATTTTCAGTAGAGACAGCGTTTCACCATGTTGGCCAAGATGGTCTTGATCTCCTGATCTTGTGATCTGCCCACCTCGGTCTCCCAAAGTTCTGGGATTACAGGTGTGAGCCACTGCCCGGGCCCGCGCGGTCTGCATCAGGGAATTCTTTTTTTTTAAATTAAAAAAAAAAAAGGATTGGGAGTCTCGCCTGTGTTGCCCAGGCTGGGAGTGCAGTGGTGTGATCTCGGCTCCCTGCAACCTCTGCCCTGCCGGGGTTCAAGTGATTCTCCGGCCCCAGCCTCCGAGTAACTGGGATTACAGGCCACCCGCCACCTTGCCCAGCTAATTTTTTGTATTTTTTAGTAGAGACGGGTTTCACCGGGTTAGCCAGGATGGTCTTGATCTCCTGACCTCATGATCCACCCGCCCCGGCCTCCCAAAGTGCTGGGATTACGGGCTTGAGCCACCACACCCAGCCAGGAGTTCTTAACCTTTATTCTGTCAGTAGCCTTCTGAAGGTGAGAACTCACCAGATATTTTCATATGCAGGAAATTGGTGTTTTGCATATTTCTGGAAAGAGTCTGTGGCTTTCATCAGATTTTCAAAGAAGTGGCTAATCCAAAAAAAGGCTAGGAATCTGATATATATTATAGGACTTTTCCTTCCCCTTCCCTTCCCACCCACCTCCGAAAAAGAAACAAAAATCCCATGTCTTCTGAAGCCCTCTTGAAATACTAATAGTTGCTCTTCAGAATGAGCCACCAGTTGGTATTCACACCTATTCTATTCCATCACCATTTTTGCTATTTTGTAAAATCAGTTTGGAAATAAGAAAAATGTAAACTTAGATGTGACAAGATGCACAGCCTCTTTGGGTTATACCTTGTATCCTATAAGCAAATCGAACTCCAGGTAATGGACACAGTTAGCAGAGTGGTTGTAGCAGATTGCCTGTTGTTATAGTCCATTTGCATTGCTATTTAGGGGTACCTGAGGCTGGGTAATTTAGAAAGAAAACAGGTTTATTTTAGCTCATGGTTCTGCAGGCTGAACAGGAAGCATTAGCATCTGCTTCTGGTGAGAGCCTCAGGAAGCTTCCAGTCATGGCAGAAGGCAAAGTGGGAGCCAGCATATCACATGAAGCGAGAGAAGGAGGAAGAGGAGGTACCAGCCTCCTGTAAACAACCTCTCATGTGAACTAACAGTGAGAATTTACTCATCACCAAGGGGATGGCACTAACCTGCCATTCATGAAAGATTTGCCCCCTTGGCCAGGCACGGTGGCTCATGCCTGTAATCCCAGCACTTTGGGAGGCCAAGGCAGGTGGATCACGAGGTCAGGAGTTCAAGACCAGCCTGGCGAACATAGTGAAACCCCGTCTCTACTAAAAATACAAAAAATTAGCTGGGCATGGTGGTGCGTGCCTGTAGTCCCAGCTACTTGGGAGGCTGAGGCAGGAGAATCTCTTGAACTTGGGAGGTGGAGGTTGCAGTGAGCCAAGATCGAGCCACTGCACTCCAGCCTGGGTGACAGAGTGAGACTTTCTCAAAAAAAAAAAAAAAAAGATTTGCCACCATAACTAACACCTCCCACTTGGCTTTAGCACCAACATTGGGGATCACATTTCAACATGAGTTATGGAGGGGACACCTGCCATTCTGATTCGTAACAGAATGGTACTCAGCAGCAGCATAGAATTACTATTTCAGAAGTCAGAGTGGACAGATGTCAGTACCAGAGGTGACCATCTGACAGTGTAGGAGGGACTGGTCCCTGGCTCTTGCCCAAGAAACTCTTCAGATTGGAGTTCATATCTTGTGACGAGTATTCTGAAGTTACAGCGTCTCTTTTAAGCTATTTGGACAGTAGAGGCCTCTAATAACCAACTTCAGTTTTTCTTTGTTACAGCAGTAGATCCGATATTAACTAGAAGAGCAGAGATCTGGGATTACAGGCACATGCCACCATGCCTGACTAATTTTTGTATTTTTTGTAGAGACGGGGTTTTGCCATGTTGCCCAGGCTGGTCTCAAACTCCTGGGCTCAAGCGATCCACCCACCTTAGCTTCCCAAAGTGCTGGGATTACAGGCGTGAGCCGCCATGTCTGGCTCATAGCTCCCATTTCATTTGGTGCCTGGGACTGTGCGCCAGCTGCCCCGTAGAGCATGCAGGCAGGCATCTGCACTCTGGCTCATCTAAGGCACCTGTGGGTAATTTGCCGCCCTCGGCAGTTGGCTTCCCAAAGCCTGGCTGTGTCCATTCCCTGCCTCCTTATCTCCTAAACATGGCCAGATTCCTCCTTGTTCTGTTAACACCTCAGGTATCATTTTATGCATATAGTTGCCCTCTTGCCTCTTAAACTGAAGCCTTGAGGACAACTGTAGACATTCCCTCACCTAAACCCTAGACCAGGGGTGTCCAATTTTTTGACTTCCCTGGGCCATATTGGAAGAATTGTCTTGAGGCACTCATAGAATGCACCAACAATAGCTGATGAGCTTTAAAAAAAAAAATCACAAAATAAATCTCATAATGTTTTAAGAACGTTTACGAATTTGTGTTGGGCCACATTCAAAGCCGTCCTGGGCCACATATGGCCTGTGCTTTGCGGGTTGGACAAGCTTGCCCTGGACTTAAGCTCTGTGAGGGCAAATTCCTGTCATACCAGTCTCCTGGGCTTTTCTGGAAGCCCCATGCTTTTTTATGCCTCTTTCGCCTTTGATGTACTGTTTCCTGTCCCCAAAACACCTGCCTTCATCATCCCGCTAGGTCTTGTTCCTACCAATCTCCCATTCAAACTCCTGTTTTTCCACAAAAGCCCATCTCAAATATTACCACCTCTGTAAATCCTTTTCTAACTTATTCAGGACAACTGAATTCTGTGTTTCTGTGCCCCCTTAATACTTGGTATGTAAGTCTCCTTCCCCAACCACCCCCATGCTTACCACATCGCGTTAGCAAGAATGAGAGCAATTTGAGGGCAGTGGCTTTGTATCTTATTTTATAGCCCTGGCACCAAAACAGTTTGTTGAATGAATTTGATAAAATCAGACCTGTAGGGCCGGGCGCGGTGGCTCACGCCTGTAATCCCAGCACTTTGGGAGGCCGAGACAGGTGGATCACAAAGTCAGGAGATCAAGACCATCCTGGCTAACACAGTGAAACCCCATCTCTACTAAAAATACAAAAAAAATTAGCTGGGCGTGGTGGCGGGTGCCTGTAGTCCCAGCTACTTGGGAGGCAGAGGCAGGAGAATGGCGTGAACCTGGGGGACGGAGCTTGCAGTGAGCCGAGATCGCACCATTGTACTCTAGCCTGGTGACAGAGCGAGACTCCGTCTCAAAAAAAAAAAAAAAAAAAAAAAATCAGACATATAATGGTTACATAGTAAACACTGGTTAACTTTTTAAAAGTCACATGTGTCTTCAGTACTGGAAAGTTAAGGTTGGGAATATGGTGGTTAATAGCACAGTTGAACATAATGGAAGAATTCACTACCTTCGAATCAGTTTCTGTTTTGATACGTTTCGTACCGAACTTTCTTCTACAACTCATCAATTCTTTGTTGCTTGTTTCACACCATTCTCGAAATCTCACATATTCTTTTCTCAAATTCAGGGAGTCATGTAGTATTTCTTGTTTTATTCACAGAGGGCTGGTTTTTAAGTTTGGCCGCACTGAAGACTTATGGCAGTGAAAACATCCGATTTCCCACAGCACAACATCCCTGCTTGGGTTTGTTTGTTTTTTTACTGCTCACTCCCAATCTTTTGTAATGCCGTTTTCTAAACTTATTTCTGAGTGTAGTCTCAGCTTAAAGTTGTGTAATACTAAAATCACGAGAACACCCTATTTAAACCACAACCAAAAATCTATTGTGGTATTCACTTGATTAACTTATAAAACGTTAAAGCAAACTTTCACATGAATAATTTTTGTCAAATTTTATCATGGCATAATTTGTAAAAATAAAAAGAAATTACAAAAGAAATTATGGATTTGTCAGTATAAGTATTTGTCATATCTGAGGTCCAAAACCACAATGAAAGTGCTCTGAAGATTTAATGTGTTTATTCAGATGTGGTCTCTTCTGTGTCAAATGTTAAATGAAATATAAACATTTTTTAGTTTTTAAAATATTTCATGGTCAAAATTCTTCCTCACTGTAAGTGGTATTTACTTTTACCAAAAATTCTGTGAACATGTAGTGTTTGAGTGGCTTTTGAGGGTCTCCCAAGGTGTGAGTGGACGTGTTGGAACAGAGAAGCACCATGGTCCAGGCACCAGGCTCTCCATGTCCCTTCCGTGGGAAGCTCTTCCGCTGTGCCTCCCATTCCAAGGGCAGGAGGATATGACTCAGCCATGACACGTGGTTCTGGTGGGACGCACAGTCACTCCACACCCACCGTTGAAGGAGAGAGGAGGAAAGGAGAGAGATTTGACACTCCGGTCTTACACAGGGGACAATTTCTTTGTAGTTGTTCTGATGATAAACCGGGTTCCATGTTTCATTTCATCTGTATGCTGAACCACTAGCCTAATAGACCAGCACGGTCAACTAGAATGACAAACATTAGCTACTGGAAACTCTGGTTGTCTCTTCCTCTTCGGAACTCTTGTCCCCACAGGCTCCCCACCTCTGCAAGATGGGATACGCTCTTCAGAACCACAGTTTGAAATGTCTTTCATAACGTGCCACAATTAGCCTTCGGAATATTTGCTGGGTGATTTAAATGTGTGGGTCTCTTTTCCATGCTAGCGTCGTCATCGGACAGTCTCTATGCTGTGAATATTGCCTGGCCATCAAGACTCTTCTCAAAGAAATAACTTGCTGTCATCCCACACGAACTCCTGATGTTTTTTCTACAAAAGTCCATAAAATGTGAAAATTGGAGAAGATCTTAGAGGTTGAAGTCTACCTTCTCTTTCACACAGGAGGGAACCCAGACCATGGAAATTTAAGTAACTTCCTCACGGTCACAGAACTAGTTTTTTAATCCTCAGGCAGTGCATCCCCCCACCCTACAACTGAGCACAACCTCTTTCCCCACAGTGCAATTCAGAATATGCTCAGGGAATGCCAGCCACCTTGTAAAACTGCTGGGATAAAAGCATGATTCCCACAAGGACTAAGGATCAGTGATTTGTAATTTTCCTGTTTTGTACTATCTGCTTTGCTCATGTAGACAAGAGTTAACTGGGTAGCATACTTTATTAAGCATGAGAAAGAATCTTAAGAATTGTCAATAAAATTAACCCAAAACTTTAATAATGTGTCTGTAACCAAGAAAATATTGATAGCATCATCCTAATGAAACTAAACATTTATTTTAAACTTATTAAATTGACTCTTAAACTAAGTTTTTAGTCTTTTATTTGTTAATATCAAATCTGTCTCTGACCTTGTTTTATTGTACATAAGGAGACTTTGCGGTCATGAGCATTTCTCACGTACAAATGCAGGCAACAGTGAAAGGAAGTTGTCTTGTTTTTGAACAGGCCTTGTTTTTCTTGGATGCTTTTTCTTAAAATCCAACAGCCAAATGAGGAAACTGTAAAAGCAAAACAAACATTTTTATCGCAGATGAACCCACATACTGATTTTAACTTGATTTCTTGAAACTTAGCCTAAATGTCTCATCACAAAGACCTTAGAAATTCTTTAATAAAATCTGAATTGGAAGAGATCTTAGGTAGGTAGGTTTTATTTCATACAGTGTTTTACATGGATTGTTGATAAATGGCCATCTGGCTTTTGTTTGAATGCCTCCAAAGACAGCGGACTCAGTATTGCCATATGAAGTAGCTCATTCCATTTGGCAGGGAGTTGAGATTGTTAGAAATTTAAACTGCACCTCCCCTGGGCCTAGTTAAATTCTTTAGAGAAGCGTAGAGAAAAAACATTTTTCTTCTGCTTGCCAGTTTTTGTTTGTTTGTTTTGTTTGTTTGTTTGAGATGGAGTTCCACTCTTATCTCTCAGGCTGGAGTGCAGCGGTACAATCTTAGCTCACTGCAACCTCCACTTCCTGGGTTCAAGCAATTCTCCTGCCTCAGCCACCCGAGTAGCTGGGATTACAGGCACCCGCCACCATGCCCAGCTAATTTTTGTATTTATTTTTTAGTAGAGACAGGGTTTCACCATGTTGGTCAGGCTGGTATCAAACTCCCAAACTGAGGTGATCCACCCGTCTCGGCCTCCCAAACTACTGGAATCACAGGCCTGAGCCACCATGCTCGACCTACATGCCAGTCTTTCAAGTGTTTGAAGAGCCTTCTTAGGTCTCCTTTGGCCTTCTCTTCTGCAAGCTGTGCATGCAGTGAATGCTGAAGTGTTGCCACACCACAGCCCAACATACAACATCGCTGCCTGTGGCGTAAACTTGGACCACGGAACTCTGAAACCGGAAATCAGGGTAGCTAACACTTGTTTGCTAACATTTCACATACATTATCTCCTTTAAACCCTAACAACCCAGTGAGAGAGTCACTGTTATCTCCATGTCAGAGATGACGAGACTGAAGCTACAAGATCACAGAGCTGGCAGTGATAGAACCCAGATCTGTCCGACGCCAGAGCACAAACTCGTAGAACATGGGATTTGATCTCATTTTATAAAGGAAGAAACTGAGCCCCAGAGAAGTGACCTGTCCAAGGGCACCAGCCTGCCAGTGGGTGAACTAGGACTGGAATTCACATCTGTCTCCCAGAACACTGGCCCTCAGCGAGGCCAGGGGAGTCTGTTGGCAGGCTGCTGATATGTTTTCCTACTTTACTTTTTCTTCTTTTTTTTTAATATATATATTTTTTGAGACAGAGTCTCCTCTGTTGCCCAGGCTGGGGTGCAGTCACACGATCTCAGCTCACTGCAACTTCCCCCCAGGGGTTCAAGTAATTCTGCCTCAGCTTCCCAAGTAGCTGGGATTACAGGTGTGCACCACCACACCCAGCTAATGTTTTTGTATGATTTTGCTTTGCTTTGTTTCGTTTTGAGATGGCATCTCCCTCTGTCCCCCAGGCGGGAGTGCAGTGGCACGATCTTGGTTCTGCAACCTCTGCCTCCCCATTTCAAGTCATTTTCCTGCCTCAGCCTCCTGAATATCTGGGACTACTGGTGTGCGCCACCACACCTGGCTAATTTTTGCATTTTTAGTAGAGACAGGGTTTCACCATGTTGGCCAAGCTGTTCTTGAACTCCTGACCTCAAGTGATCTGCTCACCTCAGCCTCCCGAAGTGTTGGGATTACAGGTGTGAGCCTCTGCGCCCGGCCTGTTTTCCTACCTTACTTTAAAAGCTGGCTTTCCTTGTGTTGTTGGACAAGCATTTGTTGGACCCTTACTGTGTCTCTAGAACATTTATTTGAAATCAGAAGTACGGGTGATACCACTGTAACGAGTAGGTTTTTAAAACTTTGCATAAAACAGCAAGAGGGACTCTTCACACACTTTGTTATGTTTTTGTACCAAAACAGTAGTGTTTATATTTCTTGGCAATAAAATCATTTTTAAAAATAACCTGCAAATACTCAGAAGTCAATGGATAATCTTCAGCACATTGCAGTTACTTCAGAATCCGCCCTACACTCAATCCAATCACTCTACTTCACTCTCAAACTTTCACTGTAGGCATCACTTCCCCACTCAAACCTTTGGGAGTTTCCCATTTGCCTCAAGGATGTTGGCTCTAGCCACCTTTCAGCCTTTTCACACACTGCCGAGCCAGGTTGCTCATGCTGGTTCTGTTCCCTGCCCCTTGCTTGGAATGCCTTGCACTTCCTGCTGCTTAGCCAAATCCAACACAACTCCATGCTCCATTCTCCCTGACTGCCCTAAGACCTCTCCCTCCTCTCATTCCAGCAGCTACTGCCAGGATTGCTTGTTTCGTTTTACATTATTTGTATTTATTTATTTTTTTTGAAACAGAGTCTCGCTCTGTCGCCCAGGCTGGAGTACAGTGGCACGATCTCAGCTCACTGCAACCTCTTCCTCCCGGGTTCAAGTGATTTTTCTGCCTCAGCCTCCTGAGTAGCTGGGGTTATAGTCGCGGACACACACCTGGCTAATTTTTTGATTATTTTTGGGTAGAGACGTGGTTCACCATATTGGCCAGGCTTGGTCTCGGCATCCTTACCTTCAGGTGATCTGCCACCTCAACCTCCCAAATGCTGGATTACCAGCGTGAGCCACCATGTGCCGGCTAGAACTTCAGGTTTGATACAACAATCTTTCATGGTCTTCTGCTTTCATTAAAAGAATAAACCTTCGCCTTTTTTATTTCGAGTTTAATAAACCGATGGATTTTATTTCATGCTTGCAGCAGCGCACAAGGGCTCACTGACATGCATTTCTTAAAACATATTCGCGGCGGTTGCCTTAAATTCAGCACTTTGGAGGCTGAGGCCGCGGATCACTTCAGCCTGGCCGAACGTGTGGAAACCCCCATTCTACTAAAACTCCAAGGATTAGCTGTGGGTAGCAGGCACCTGTAGTCCCAGCTACTCAGGAGGCTGAAGCAGGAGAGAAATCGCTTGAACCCTGGGAGGCGGAGGTTGCAGTGAGGCCAGGATCACACCATTACATGTAGCCTGAGCTACAAAGCAAGACTCTTGTCTCAAAAAAAAAAGGTAATAAAATAATAAACAAACTGAATTTTTGTAAATAAGTATCTGGTTGGTGAGGACCCACGGGTTAGACTGCACAGAGGAGGTAGGAGATTAGAATATCTGGCTCCTGGAGGACATAACTGATATTAAGATTATGCATCCTCTGGTATTTCATACATGTCACTAAGTTGGGTAATACAGTGTGTAGGAATGAATTACAAATGGAATGAGTGACATTTTAATAACCATCGGGAGGGGCCTGGGCGCTGGTGGCTCAAGCCTGTAATCCCAGCAACTTTGGGAGAGGCGACGAGAGCGGGATCAGCGGTCAGGGAGGATCGAGGGACTAGCCTGGTAACACGGTGAAGCCCGTCTCTTACTAAAAAAATGATACAAAGAACTAGCGCGGGGCGATTGGCGGGGCGGCTGTAGTCCCAGCTACTGGGGAGGGCTGGAGGCAGGAAATGGCATAGGACCTGGGAGGCGGAGCTTGGCAGTGAGGCCTGTAGATCCGGCACTGCACTCCAGCCTGGGACGCAGAGCGAGGACTCGTGCTCAAAAAAAAAAAAAAACTTAAAAAAAATAATAAAAAAATACCATCGGAGGATGAGGATGGTGCCCTTGGGGAGTGGTGAGTGCTCGCCTCCCAGAAGTGCCAGGGCGGTGGTCGTGCGCAACCGTGGAAGCAGTGGCTGAGCTGGCTTTAATGTCCTTCCAACCCTGGCAGTCAGTTCCATGAAAATTCGGAGTAAGAGTATTTAAAATGTCTTGTTGGATGGTTTGCAAAGAAATAAAATTTTTTTTAAAAGTCACCTCTGGATTTATCAGCTTTGCAAGTTGCATGCTTGCCTGTTTAATGGGTTTTGGCTTTCAACTGCAAGCTGAAATGGTACACTGCCGAATAAATGGTCCTACTCAACCGCGGAGAAAACAAGTCGAGAAGATTTCTGGGGTGGGGTGGGGGGTAGGAATAACTTTTCTCTAGTAACTGTATCAACACATATGTGGGGTGTCTTTGGAGCCAAAAGACATCAAATTTCTTCTTTTCTTGCATTAGTTCTTGTCATTTTGGGCAAGTTACTTAATCTCTCTAGGCCTCGTTTCATCATCTTCAACTGAGATACTTACTTCTTTTTTTTTTTTTTGAGATGGAGCCTCGCTATGTCACCCCAGGCTGGAGTGCAGTGGCGCAATCTCGGATTCACTGCAGATCTCACCTCGCAGTTGTTTCAGCATTTCTGTTTCAGGCTTCCCAGTAGCTGGGATTACAAGCATCCGCCACCATGCCTGGCTTTTTTTTTTTTTTTTTTGTATTTTTAGTAGAGACAGGGTTTCACCACATTGGCCAGGCTAGTTTCAAACTCCTGACCTCAAGTGATTTGCCCACTTCAGGCTCCCAAAGTGCTGGGATTATAGGCATGAGTCACCTCACCTGGGCGAGATACTTACTTTTATGCAGGGTTGTTGTGAGGATAAAATCAGGTAATGTGGAAAAGCACCTAGCACAAAATCAGAAACTGTAGGCTTGCAATATGATAGCTCTTATGCTCACACATTCCTTCGTGGTTGGCTAAATCCCTAGTAATAAACTTTCACATTCATGTGGTGGTTTGCATTTTACAGAATGTTGTTACAGACATTATTACCTCACTTGATCTTTAAAATAACCCACTTTCTTAGATAGAGCAAAGATTACTACTCTTATTTTACCAGTGAAAGAGGTCGAGGAACTTGCCTACATAATACATACATTACATAATATAATACAATACATTATACACTACATTACATAATATGTGACATTACAGAATGATGCTAACATCGGGTTTCCTCATTCCAAATGCACACTCTTTCTGGTTTACCTGTTGCTGCAGTGGCTAGTGTTAGATAGGGTTCCTCAGATTTCCTTAATTTATCTAGCAAATTTTTTTTCAGAGACGGGGTCTTACTG